TGAACAAAAGGAAAAGACTAGAATTATAAACAAAAGAAAATGATTAACAAAAAGCTATCTACAAAATTTGGATTAAGGGATTTGGATTTTGGGATCAAGAGAGAAGAGGGAAAAACAACTTCAAATATTTTTTTTTTTTTTTTGACGAGCGCTAAATCGGTCGCACAATTTAGGCTCATTCAAACACATTTATAACAAACACCTCACTCAAACAAGTACAATGGCAAGCAAGGGTTCGGTCCACGGAGAACGGGAATCAAATGCTAAATAATCTTAATGCTCAAGCTAAATCGAAATCAAGGTATAAGTGGTGATTAACTAACAAACTACAACTAAAGGTTGAATTCAAGGGATTAAAACACTAGGGGAATGGGATTCACTCAACCAATAGCAATTAGGCAAATAGGGAGGAATGAGGGTAATGGAATAGCAAAGACCACATGCAAGATCAACATCAAACGATATGAAAACAACTCAGATTACTAAGCTTAGATCCCTCATTAACTTAGCAACAAAAGATACATAATCATATTGCAATAGATAATGAAACATTCAACTCACATTTCCATGTCGAACCAAACATTTCATGCCATCAAGTTCAATAATCTAGGTTAATTACTCCTATCATGAAGAACTAACAAGCAATCCCATATAATCAAGTTTAGTCGCAATCCATCATCAAAATCACTCCCAAACTCACATAATCACCAATAGGTTGAGTTTCACCCAACCCCTAGCCAAGAGGACTACTCACAATTCATTGTGAGTACATGCAAATTCCAAGTTTGGATTATAAGCGATTCTAAGATTTGGAAAAACAAGTGATTATCTATGGACAAGGCTAACATGCAACAACAATATATCAAGATTGAGAGAAAATCAAGTGTCTTACAAAACAAAAATATAAAATCAGAAAATAATGAAGGACAAATGAAAGAAGTTACTATTGAAGCTTCAAAAATGTTGGATAATTGCTAAAATTCTTGAGATAAATCTTGAAATTTGCTTCTACAATGATTAGATTTGAGAGTTTCTAAAACTAAACCAACTAATTTAATGAAGTTGCTAACTAAGAGAGAGTATCTTTTTTTGCTGAAAACTATTCTACTGTTTTTCTTCTCTTTCCCGAAAAACGATCTCAAAAGGACCTTAAATAGTCCGTACAAAATTGGCTGAGATCGGGAAAAGGTCCGACCGAACTCTGGGTAGGTTCGGCCGGACTCAGGGTAGGTTCGGTCGAACCTCCCTGATCCTTGTTTGGTCGAACTTTTGAGGTTCGACCTCTCCTGCAAAATTGCTGAAAACTGGTTTGACACTGCCTTCACTGCACCCTGGCGGTTCGGTCAAACTTTTCAAAAGTTTGACCACACCTAGGTTCGACCGGACCTTTCAGAGGTTCGGCCACACCTCCTCTTGCACTTCCTTTTCTTGCTTCCTCTCCTTCCCTTTTGCTCCTCTTGCCTTTGTCCATGGCTTCCATACTTGGCCAAGGGGCCTCCCACCGTGCATAGGACCGTCATGGAACCTGCAGAAGATACCAAAGTTCACGAGAGCATGGGGATGATAAAATAATGCATAAAAATTATCAAAATAAGCGCAAATAAGCATTACTTTTAATCAACACATAAAGAAGCCATAAGAGGATAAATGAGGTGGAAAAAACTAAGAAAAATAAGAGGAAAAAGACCTAAATACTACCCCTTAGAGTGACATAAATGTCACTCATCACTCTACCCCCATACATCTCGCAGCTGGCAACAAAGCCCAAGATGTTGAACAATGAGTTAAGGGCTAGTTGTCAGAGACCCAGCCGATACCCATCCAAATCCCTCTCTATAGCTAGATGTAGAGGAAATCTTTAGGCAGCTTTGATGGCCGCCTCGTAGCAGCCAAAACACTCATCCCTGTAGCTGGACGACTCTGGCCAGACTACCGTATCCTCGGCATCCGGGACAGTTAGAATATAACCATGTCCCATTACATGGTTAGCCCTAAAGCTTTCTTATTTTTCAGACATGGCCTTGGGCCGGCCTTAGGGAACATGGCAGAAGTAGGGAGTGTACGTTTCCTTTGGGTGGCAGCCGGCTCTGCCCATCCCTCCCCTTTTTCCACCTCATGGCTCTATCTCGCTGTATGTAGCCGAGGGTGTTTTTCCTCTGGGTCATCAGAGTGCCGACTGGAGGTGCTCGGTTCAGAGTCGTCCTCTGAGCTCTCAAACAAGGCAGTCGCCTACCCAGACAGGTCAATGAGGAGAGGTTCATTGACAAGAGGTTCATTCTGAACCACCTCCCTTGATTCCCCTAAAATGGAATCACTAGGGGTGCAAGGGACGCCAGGCGGCACATCCGTGATCTCGCTTGTGGGCACATAAAATGAGGAGCCGTCTGAATTTGTAATCCTGGTCGTTCTCTTTGTTCTGGCCATGGTGTCTTACACAGATAAATAGATAGTTGGACTTTGGGAAGTTCGCAAAGGATGGTCCAGCATGGGGCAGGCGACACTCCTAGTTCTAGATTCAGCCGTCCCTGGTGACCGGCTGATCACTAACCTAGGCCGTGCCGGGTGCTTTTGGGCTACCATTTTTTAAAACAGAAAAAACTAAAAGAAAGTGAACTAGGAAACAGGCGGTTACCTTAAGAAGTGGAAAAGTCTTGGAACCCTTGAAAAATAGCTGAAGAAGCAGGCGGTAAAGGAAACAGGCGGTCTGTAAAAAAACAAGCGGCAACAGTCTAGAGAGTTAGAGCAGACGTCCAAAATCCTGTCTTAGAAGTTTCTAGAATGTCCAAATGATTTGGACACCCCCTATTTATAAGGGGAGAATTTCAAGGGTCACTAAAAAAAATAAAAAATTTGGTAAAAACCGTTCTCTAATCATGGTGTGAAACCTGTCACAGGTGCCACGTGGCATGCCACGTCACCACTATGAGGGGCAAATGATTAGTGGATTTTCCCCCCGCCACGTGGACCAATGATATCCTGCCACGCGTCATCCACGTGTCACCTTGTGAAAGGCCCAAAGTGGACCAATCAGGTCACGACACTTGGCAGGCAGAATTGCCAACTGAGCAAGTGGATTCCTACGGCCCAAAGTTCCAGGCAAAGCCTAATCAGCCCTAGGTTTACTAAACCTAGTATAGGGCACGTTTTCCAACATCTTATAAAAGGGAGATGTCCCCCTCCTTTGAACATCTATTCAGAAAATTACATACACATTAACTCTACATCAGAGTAAGTAAGACACTTGTCACCCAAAAGTGAGCAATTACACATTGCAGATCCTCTCTTGGAATCCGAGAGAGACCCTTTACTTTCCGTAATTTACTCCTCAAATACGTTCTAACTTGATCGTCGGAGGCGGAACTCCCACCTACCGGAGTCTCTGTTGTTTTGTAGGTACAGGTGTCCAGAGGTCAGTCTTGGAATTGTAACTCTCCCGAAGGACATCAAAAAACCCCGAAACAGTTTTAATTGCAGAATTATTCCCAATATTATTCCATTCATGTGACCTTTTAGCTCAACTAGTTTCCCTGAGTCTTGCTAAACTGTATGCTATGTGATACGGTTGAAAGTCTCTACTAGAGTCTTTCTTGTTTGACTTATTATTAGCCTAGCTTATACTTAGTTCAAACATTTACATAATTTTATACATATGGGTTGAAAGCCTTTCAAACTCCTTCATGTTTAACACGATAAATTCCTCTACTCGTTTAAAAATTTCATTAAGTCTATCCAATAGATCTTAATTCCCACTATGTACTAAGTATCGCCATTTTCTTAGTCCATTGTCAAAAATCCTTTCAAATCTAAGCATTTAGCATTTGATAGTCATTTCACAATAGAGTTTACAAATTTCTTGTTGGACCATACAAGATTGACTCTTGCTCCCACTAAACTTCTTGTTCATAAGAATTTCAATGATTCTCCATAAGCCACACCTTTTATTAACTTTATGAGAACACATGTTCCAATTCCTACATACAATGCTTCACTTAATCCCACAATGGATTTCTTGAGCTTGCTTTCAAATCTAGTATGATTTAGAATTACAAAACCCTTAGACTACTTCCATACTCTCTTCCAAAATCAATTTCAGGAAGGCGGTTTTGTTATCTATTTTGCCACATTTCATATGCGCAATTTTTCTAGAATAATCACGAAAAGACTTAAGCGGTCCGATTGGTGAATAGGTTTTTTATTAAAATCAACGCCGTGAATTAATTTTATCCTTTTCAACCAATCTAGCTTTGTATGCTTATGCATTTCCATATTTGTCAGTTTTCTCCTTGAAAACTTATTCGCGATTGATGGGTCTTTCACCCTTCATGCAAATGAATCAAGTTCCAAACATGATTTACAAACATGGAGTCTATTTCGGATTTTATGGCCTCTAACCATTATTCGAAATTTGGATTTTTCGTAGTTAATTTACAAGACACTATTCCTTCACCAACCAATCGTAAATAGTATGCTTCTAAGTCTTAGGTTTATTTCTAACTTAATAGAAATTTATAGGATTCAATCCAAGCCTTTGGTGAATTGTATACCTATACAAGGTAATTGAATCAAACACTGAATTTCAAGGTGCTTTTAAAGCCCTTTGATTATATTGATCTTACTCCACCACTTCTAAAGTTTTGTGAGTATTGAATTCTCATTTAAGGCTCTTGTAAAGTCCTTTGAGTATTCTTAATCAATTATTCTCATGAAGCCCTTCTAAAGTAACACTGAGTCAATTGTCTATGCCAAGCATAATAGCTCCTTTCTTTGTCAATTTCAACAAGTAAGACTTGCTTGTCTTAGAATGATTCCGAATTGATCAACTATATTATCAAGAGTCTATCTAATAGAGCCTTGAGTACGTTCTTGTCGATGTGACATTGCTAAAGATGCTTGGAACACAAATCATGTCCATCACTTGAACCTTGTGAGTTTTCATGTTAGGGAAATGTTTGTTTATAATCTAGCATTTTGACTCATGGCTCACACTAGTAGAAAAAATGAAATAGGCACCCCCCCTTTAGCACCGGTTCTTGAAAACCGGTGCCAAAAAAAATGGGCGGGATTAAAAAATTCGGTTTTGGCATCGTTTTGAACCAGTGTGAATTAGAAAAGACAAAAAATAAAAAATTAAACTCGGGTTATGCGTTACTCTGCTTCTTCATTCTCTTTCCTGTTCTTTTTCCATTTCCATTCTCTCTCTTCTCTCTCCTCATATGCTCTCCTCTCTCTCCTCAACCAAACCTTCAGCCGCAGTTGCAACCGCAACCATCATGCACCGCTCACAGATTCTCTCTCCCCTTTTCTTTTCGTGCTCTCTCCTCTAGCCTCCTTTTACCCTATCAATCGTTTTCTAGGGTTTATCGCCCTTGTTATACCTCTAAATCTCAATCTCATATCCAATCACCTCTCAGTAATTTCTAGGGTTTCGAATTACACTGATGCTGCAATAATTGGAGGCTGGAGTTGGTGGTGATTAAATTTATGTTGTTGAACACAAAGAGGCAAACTAATATCAGCAGGCTACACTTCTTCTTTCTCGAGGTTTCTTCATCTTGCTTGATCTTTCACTCTATGTTACTCTCTTAATTAAAGTACTTATCGATTTTTTAATTTCTGTAATTTCTATAATTTCGATCAATTTCTGTCGTTTTCTAAGATATTAGGGTTTATTACTCTTATCTGGGTTTTCATTTCATTTTTTATCGGCCAATTTCTAAAGCATGCATATCATTTTATTTGTTATTCATATCATTTTTTATAATCTTGAAGTTGATTGATAGAAATGATTGATCTGGGTGTTTGTAATTCTTGTTAATTTTGTGTTTTTCTAGTGTTACTTTGATAATTATGTGTTTCTTTGTGAAAATAGTTGGTAAAATTGCTTATTCTCTTTAGATATATGAAGATATGTCGTGAGCAGTTTTGTGGGTTTTTTTTTATTGAATTACTTTTGTGACCGATTTGAATTAGAGATCTATTCAATTAGTTATTTTATTTAAGTTCAGTGATTACTGGGGCTCTTTGTTTGTGCTTATGAATTAGAGAATTACTAAATTAATTTTGTGGGGTTGTTGAATTTGATAATTTACTGATTAATTTAGGTGTATTAATTTGATGCTTTATCAGGTTAAAGTTAGAATTTAATTTGCTGAAATTATTACAGTTGAGGCAGTGTTTTTATGCTTATTGTGTTACCTTGAATTTACAGATTAAAAGTTGTTGTATTTTAGTTAGATTTGTAGATTTGAGGGATTGAAGTGGGTTATCAAAGAGGTTGAGCATTGGATGAATGGGTTGGAAGATACGTATTGATGAACTGCCCAGGTGTAAAGATCTGGGCTGAAGTTTCCTTTGTTTTCGTGTTCGTTTTTCTGCTGCATTTTGCCTATGGGTTAACAAGTCCCAGTGATGGTAAGTTTTATCCTAGCAATTTAGTTCATCTATCAATTTCAATGGTTTTTGGCGTTTTTCTATTTTGTGAAACCAAGTTGATTGTATTATTTAAAGTGTATGTTTCTTAATGCCGCTTATAGCATGGGATAAGTAGGTAGGTGGTCAATTTTATTTAGCATTGAAGGGGAGTTAAAGTAGTATTCAATTTCGAAAATTCGAACTACAAAAACCAGGGTGCTTTTCTTGATATATATTGTTCATGGTAATCATTATTGATTGCCACAGGACTAATTCCCTAAGGTGTATATGTGTAATTGAATTTTATCAACTTTCCTAAAGAATCTATATTCAATATGAAGATTCAAAATCTAACAGGAGCTATTTATGTAAAGCTGCATTTTAATGAATCTTGGTATTACTAATTTGAAGTTTTGAAAAATGTTTCTTCGTTAGAGGATCAATTTGTTTGTTGATTTCTTCAATCATGTTCTTCAGTTCTTTAGGGAGATTAAGTCTTGGTCACACTATGTACATCTCTGGTTTGACATGCACCAAGACAAAAACACAAGGGGTGAGCTCAACACTTATTTCCAATGATTATTGATATGCACATATCTTTATTGGCTATTGGTTTCTCTGACCAACCCTTGTAATCTGTATCTAGTTAAGTAATATAAAATTCTGTATAACCTCACCTCAGATTGTAATATATTAAGTTTCTTTGACAGTCTAGAAGCACGATGGTTTGAAAATGGTCCTAGAACTTCCTTTGTCAACCTAAGCTACTTGCCTGCAATCCTGAACTCATCTTGTCTCCACAAGCATTCTTACCTTGCTGATGTGTCAAGGCAGAATACTGGTACACATGTATGTCTTCCACAAGTTGGCATCTTTTGTATCACCTGGCTCATTATGTGTTTTAAGTGATTTTCTGCTAGATAGCTTTCATCAGTTTGATAATTGAACTTGCATGTTGGTAGCATAGCCTATGACTGGTTAAATATGTCTTTGTATCTGTTATACTACATTTTTGTTTATGAAAACTAAGATTTGGAGCTGTTAACTCTTATAGACTCTGCCAAAGCATCTTTAGCCAAAGCTGAAGCTTGGGGATTTCAAAAAGTCTTCTCGTGTATTTTTTTTTGGTGATTCTTTTGATTTTTCTGTGAATTTTATTTTGCTTTTTTATGATTTTTTGTATCAATTTTGTATTTTCTTAGGTTAAAGGATTTTTGTGTTAATTTTCTGTGAAATTGTTGCTGGTTTGGATGATCCGATGAAATTAATTATGCGATTTTGATGTTTTTGAATCATTTTATGACAATGCATGCATATTTAAAAAGAGTGTTAATGTTGTGGAAATTGCGCATTTTTTTTTGTTGTTTGGGTGAATTGGGCGTTAATTTTAGCGTGGGCGTTAATCCTCATTTCTTGCCTAATATGTGACTAAAGAGAAATTAGAGCAGTTTCTGCTTCATTTAATTGATATGGCCATACCGGCATTACTTCTACCTATTATTAGCCTCATTTCATACTTATGCATTACTGATTTAGCTAGCTCCTCACCTTTGGGCTCTGGTGCCTCTTGAGAACTTATTGTCAGCTCATGGAACTCAGTGGATTTTAAATCCTGCACCATGGTTTTATATTTTATTGTTTGTGAGGAAGGCTCAGAATAATTCGTTGGTTCTGTGCTTGTCTCGGTCTTTGCTGTAGAAGTAGTAGCCTCTAACTCCACTGACAAGTCTTCTGGCTCTTTCATTGTTGAATCACCAGTGGTCTGGACTATTTCTACTAGTTCTTGCTTTGACAGTGAGTCATCGATAGGTTCATCTTTCAAATTTAGGACTTTAAGCTCCTTTTGTTCTTTTTCTGGCATAGAGATGATGAAAGACTTTATAATTTTTAAGTTTCAGCTGTTGAGGAAATAAGTTAGGCTACTGGATTATGCCAATGAATCTTTTTTAGACTAATAACCAGTTTAGTTACACCATGCCTTTGCTTGCTTGGTTACTGTTGAAGGTTCCATTCTAGCATTCTTCTTCTTCTCACTTGTGTATACTACCTGTTTACGTTCCTTTGTCCTAGATGTTCATTAGTCTATTTCTCCATTTCCTTGCAAGCTGCTAAATGTTTTTGTATTATTGAAGATATGTGGGCAATTGGTGCAGTAATGGCTGAACTTTTTACCTTGTGTCCTATTTTCCGTGGAGATAGGTAATGTTTGATTTAGCCTTAGGGTTCTGTCTTGAAATAATTATTTTAAATAGAGTAATTTGTAGAATTTTGGTTGACATGTTCTTTGGGGGCGTATGTTTTTGGCGATTTATTTGTACTGTTGGAAAAACTTCAATTTCGTTATGGTTTATGTTCTTTTCCTTATCTTAGTGATGGTTGCTCCTGCCCCTTGCTTCTTAGTGTTTGAGAGTTTGGAAAGATGAAAGTACGAACTTGCATAGACATATTTTCCAAAGAGATCACAAAATATATGTGTATGACCTATGTTGATTATGATCACCATTTATTTAGAAGCAGTCACTATGAGTACTAGATTGCTAAGAGCAGCCAAACCAGCAAGCAACACAGCACTACAGCAGAGCAACAAACACCCAGCACAGCCTGACCAAAGCAAAACTGAAACACAGCAGCTCAAGAACTCAAACCAGTCACCCAGCTAGCCTGAACATCAGAGACACAGCCACAAAAGCAAACAGATGCCCAACCAGCCTGAACAGGACAGAGGCACAACAGCGCAGCAGAACAAAACCAGTAGCACAGCAAACAGCAGAGCAGCAGGTCAGCCTGAACACACAACAACACATCAGCCAGCAGAGCAGCCACCAGCACAAGACAGCCTGAACAGAAGCAAAACCAATCACCCAGCCAGCTTGAACAGAGCAGAAACACAGCCACAGAAGCAGAACAGCCACAACCATCAGAGCAGAAACACAGCCACAACCATCAGAGCAGAAATACAGCGACAACCAGCAGAGCAGCCACCAGCACAAGACAGGGACAACTAGTTAAATGAAATGCAAGAAAGGCACTCAGAGATAAGTCTGGATTATTTAATTTTTTTTGGACGAAAATTGTAATTTTACAGCCTTATTTAATGAAAATATGTAACTTTATATATATGTTAATGTTTCTATATCAATTTAAGCGAAAAAAATGGAAAAAATAAAAAAATTATTTTTTGGGGTATTTTTGGCACCGGTTTGGACCGTAACCGGTGCCAAAAGTTTGTTTTAAATTTTTTTTTAAGACTTTTGGCACCGGTTAATCGATGCCAAATCATGTAGTTAGCACCGGTTAACCGGTGCTAAATGCTTCAGTTGGCACCAGTTTTGAACCGGTGCCTAATTTTCATGGATTTGGCATCCCTCAAATCCCCAACGGTTCAAAACTGGTGCCAAAGGGAGGGTTTGAACCGGTTCTTTTTTGCCTTTTTCGTCTAGTGTCAAACCACCATGCCATTCAAATAAAACCCGCAACTATTGCTCTTTTACTTTCAATGCGAGTCTTTCCGTGTGTAAAGCGATCGTTTGCTAATAATGGAACACAATAACCATTATTCGTTCTAGCCTTGGCTTAAAAGGACTTTAAACAAAACAAATGACCTTACAACTGATGTAGCACTACTTGCTTCATTCTAAGCTTGTAAGTCAATGACTTAGCTTGTCTTCAATGGTTTGAGGTCACTTTTAAAGTGGAACACTCAAGCAGTATCCAATACTTGTGAAGATAACGAATTGCTAAGTTAACTATACTAACATGAACTCATGGGTAGACTTATTCCTTTCCTTTGTTCTTTGTTTCCTATATATCTTATCATACACCATCTCATAACTTTAAGAACCATTTCTTTAAGTGCCTTGACTTTCATACTTTGTTATGCATAATTAAGTATCTAATGCGCAATGAAACAAAGTTCCATCTTTTCCTTCAATTCGTACTTGAATTGTTACATCAATAAGTCCTACTCATTTGTATATGAAGCGTAAAGATATGTTGGTTGTCAACTATTGAAAATTTGAGTTTTTCAACACAATATTTCATGTTCATCAAAACTACCCAGAATTTTGAATACATGATATCCAACCATCCTTTCGGACTTAAGTCATAAAAGTCAATTATGAGAGGTTGTATTTTAGAAATGCCTTTCCATTCTTTGAGAACCATTCTCAAAAGATTTCCTTTACCAATCATTGAAAACAATATAATTTGATTTAGAATTCTACAAATATAAGTGCAAAGTATAACCATTTATCAAGTTCATAACATAATAAGTTTGAAATTCAAAGCATACATGCAAACTTTCAATCTTATTACGCGTCCTATCCACGCATTAAAATTTTTCCCTTTTAGGCGAGAATAAAACGATTCCATGATCCCAAAATCAAAAAGTGATTAAGCGTGCTTTGGCTTGTCTTAACACTTAATATCTTAAGGTAAACAATCCAATTGCTAATAGCTCCAAGCTACTCTTGGTTCGATAAAACGTTGCATCTAATGCTTCCTTGACATTTTATCTCCATTGCTACGACGTTTAAGGACTCCTTACTGATATCGTTGATCTTAACCAAGATGACTTGTATACCTAGTATACCTTACGTTCCTAGGGAAGCGGTGATGCCTCGCTTTGGCGTAGCCCATCACCACGCGCATTAGTTCGGTAAGTGTCGTTCTTGGAATGGCAAATTTGGCTCAATATTATAGGGACCTAGGGTTTCTATGTTAGTTGATTTAAGTGAACTTAATTAATCATCACAATATTTGAAATCCTAAACATGCATCTATCATATAATTCATTCATATATAAACACAATTATATACAAGACATAAGTAAAAGATGCATTTGGCAACTAGCATGACCCCTTGAGTCTTCAAATCTTCAAGGGTCTTCGATGGAACTTCTTGGCTTGTCCTCTTTGAAACGCTGTCTTTGAGACATCTCCACCAAATATGCAACTACTAGTTACTATAACTAGGATTAATCTAAATATTAAGGTACAAAAATACGCAACGGTACACACACCGTATTTAGATTTACAAAAATACATGATGGATCGCAGCCCATATTTACTATCCTAGTCGGGCCCCACTAGTTGCCATTTTCACAAAACCTGTGAAACACTATACATTCCATTCATCCATTCACTATTTGTGAATGGCCCATGCAATTTACAACGGAAAACAAGTAACAATGCATAACGCGCGTAAACTAGTAACTAACTTAGGTAGTTAATCCAATTAACACGCCTAATTAAAATTGGTCAAAGTTGTTTATCGATTATGTGATTAAATGCAATAAAATAGCTCGAGTAATTAATGAAGCTCCCACTAAATTCCGCATCCAACTTAATTAATCCAATTAATTAAGCCGTTAACCCATATTTTGCCAAAATATTTTGCAAATGCCAGCAAAACCAAGGCCTAACCTCGTTAAAATAATTAAATAAATAATTAAAATAGCAAACACATCCCAACGATGCATTACGATCCTTAAGTGCTTAGCAGTAAGGTTTGAGGTGCCTTGCGTGGCCGCACCCGCACAACCGCTTGTGGCCCAAGTACGTGGGGGTTTTCTCAATGTCGTATACACGTTACACCGGCTACATCAGCGCACCTGCAAACACACAAGACATGGCCTCAAAGCACCTAATCATGCGAGCTTATGTTGCCTAGCAACACATAGCAGCACCAAGGCACCCTTATCGTAACACCTTGTTCGCATCACCCTTGCATCTTCGATGCACCAAACATGCACACACAGCACTATGCGTGCACCAATTCCAAAACCGCCACACATTAGCATCAGTTTGAGGCATAGGCAGCCCATGCACACCGCGACAGCCACATGTGGGTTGCGAGAGCAGCCCGACTAGCCATGTGGTGTGCTTCGGCGATTATTGCCTCGATTTGTGTGCTTTTAATCTCGGGATTTTAATCTCGATATGTGTGTGACCTAAAATCGATTCTAAATTTATTTTTGAACCAACATTGAGCAAGAATGAAAATATGACAAGTCTAACTTAAATAAATTAAATTTTGTGTAGAAACCAAAATTATTCAAGAACCATTCTTTAAATCGATACTTGGTTGATCATGATGCTACAAAATTGAAGGGCTATACTCACAATGAATTCAACCATACGTAAATTAATAATGAGATTTGACAAAATTAAAGAGGTTGGAAAAATAAACCCATTCATCTAATGAAAAATTTCCAACACTAACTTGTGTATAATCGAAAAAATTATATCTTCCAATATAAAGACTAATTAAATTTAAATCAAAAGTTTTGAACTTTTAGGACTTTAATCAACTAAAAAATGATTAAATCCAAAAATTAGTTCAACATGGAATTTAGAAATCAAAGTTCCAACCAAATAAACAATTAAATATTGTATCTTTAACATATTAGGGACTGCAAAATTACAAGTTCACCATAAACATTCACACTTGAAGCATTTTATTTGCAAAAATGTGAAAAATTCAAGTTTACATGAAAAATGAACTCACCAAATTAAGCACCAATTATGACATCATAAACAAGCTTAATAAGGTTTATAATTGCAGTAGATTAGTGATGTAACCATACATTTAATCTACCTTTAACATGCCATAATTAATCAAGTTTAAAGATTTTAAATTTTTCGTCAAAAATGAAAAACCCCTCAAAAAACATGTTTCTGGGTGGATTTTGGCTTTTGTAAAGTCCTCGTAGAGAGTTAAAAACGATTATGAACATCAATTCCACCCAAAAATCACTATTTTTGAGTCGAAATTTGGTTCGTCAGCCAAAATTAGTAAAATTCGAGATTAAAACTAATTAAACGAGCTTCTAATCTAATTAGAAAGCAAAACCTGAATTTAAGTCCAATTTAAGTCACCTCAATTAATTATTAGTTACAATAATTAAAATGAGCGCGGCTTCGATACCGCTGTTGGGTTTTGTAGCGTCTAACGCTACGCAGAAGGGAAAACGCGCCCAAGACCTATCCACTAATTAAAGCAACTAAGCATTCAATCACATAATTAAACAACAAAAGAAAGAGAAAGGGAAGTGGCATTCTTACCCTCAACACGTGCTTCGCTCCTATAGAGTACGGACTTCAAAGCCTTAGCTCCGCAAGCGCGAGGGCCTCCGACAGAGTCCACCCTCGAGACCCGACCCGAACGGCCTCTACCCCGAAGGTTCGGCAACCTGCCAGCCGGATTTGTCAATAACTTAAAGACGCTGGAATACCTGTTCGCGTCAAACATCTCAATGAATATCCCTGCCAAGAAGACAAGTCTTGACTTGGGTGCCATACATCAGGGAGAGAAGGAGGGGCTGCGCTCATATATCAGGCGCTTCAATCTGATGAAAATTCAGATTCAAGGTTTGTCTGATGAGGTAGCTTACACAAACTTTTTCAAAGGTCTAAAGGACGGGTCGGCTTTCAAGTTCGACCTCGTCAGGAAGAGGGTGGCTACCCTCCAAGAGGCACTGATGGAAGCGGACGCCTATATACATGAGACCGAGCTCTGCAACATCAGCAAGCAGTCGGACACAAAGAGGTCTGACAAGAAAGAGAGTCAGCCATCAAGGCTAGCTAAGAAAGAAGAAAAGAAAAGAAAACAACTATGGGTTGCTGAATCCTCTGAACAGCCGTCCCAAAAGAAAAAGAAAGAAGCAAAGACGTACTCCCCAAAATACGAATCATATAAAGACAGTTACTCCATCCTCATGGAGATAAAGGACCAAGTCTCTATTAACATGCCGTCTCCTATGAAGGGCTCCGCCAAGAATAAGAACAAAAACAAATACTGCCATTACCATGAGGATATTGGCCACGACACCAACGAATGCTATAGTCTCAAGCGGCTGTTGGACCGTCTGGCTGATAAAGGAGTCCTCAAGTCTTACATCTTGAGGTCCAAGGTTACCTTGTAGACCAACTCTGGACAGTCATCCAAGAAGAAGCCTCACTCTGCTAATAGCTCGGTTACGGATGAAACTCCGATCTATACAATATCAGGCGGCTTCGCTGGAGGCGGCCTTACCATCCGGGGCAATAAAGACTATGTCCGGCGCCTCCAAGGTTACCATCCGGGGTACCTCAGTCGACGAGGGAAAGGCGTCCAAG